CCACACAGCCTGAACTACTGGATTCATTTACATTGTAACTGAGACAGAAATGTCTCTGAAGGTTAAAAAAAGCAAGATATTAATAAAACTATAGATCTGAAACTAAAATCTTAGAACTCTACCGAGTACATATAACACTGCATATAGCTGAATACTAAAATCACTGTAATCTATTTATACAACATTTTTACAGCAAGTATCAATATAAAAGGTAAAGGTTCAAGTTCAAGTTCAAACCTAACAACACATTTATAAAATTTATGAAAGCTTAGATTAAAATAATTTCATTATTTTAATAATTTTTCCATTGACTATTGAGAAAGTTATCAATGATTTTTGGTGAGCAATTTTACTAAAACGTAATAAAGGTTTTCCTTTTAAGATTGATCTGGTTCTGGTCCAGTCCGGTCCGGGTCCTGGACAGCTGTGTGTCGACTCTTGGAGCTCTGACTCCAGCTACAGTCCATGTTTTCTCAAGGCTGCAGTGATCCCCGTTTCTTGTTCATCTTTTCCTGACAGACTTTTTCCTTCCACTAACTTTTCCATGAATATGACTGAGCATAGAACTGTGAACATCAAGCTTCTTTAGCGATGAGCTGCTGTCAAATACTACCAGTCCTCCCTTTGATCTTTAGACCACAACTGAGCATGTCAGAAAAAAAAAAAAAAGCAAAGAAATTTTTTTTTTAATGAAATATTCTAATTTTTCAAAAATTAAATTTGGCTTTGATTATTTGGAAGCCATATTAATCTAAATTAACAGAAATAAACATGTAAAATATATGAAAGTTTAACTTTTTGAACTGAATTACTTAACTTTGAGATGATAATTCCGTTTCGCGAGGTGTATCTGTATATGGTCAGCATTAATGAATGAATGAATGAGAAGGCCTGTAGTATGTGAGAAAGGTTTATGGCTGCAGAACAGACTCCAGTGTATTTGTGAGCAACAGATAAAATAACTCTGATTACAGAGTTCTTTTATCTGCATGTTTCCGTTCTTCAACATCAACCAGGTAACAGAAGTTGACTGGTAAAGGAGGTCAGTAAGAAGTGATTATGTAAGCTGTCGAAGTATCACAGGTGCATTGTTGTGAACCTACAGTGCCTCCTGTGTCCGTCCAAGCACCTGGAAATGAGCTGTGCGTTTGAATTTCTTACCAGATGCCCTGAAGGCGTCAGACAGTCAGAAGTCCTGGATGGAACAGCACAGGACCTGGAGCCACAAACACCTGATTAGCAAAGACATTAAGAAAGAAAGGGGAAAAAAGCTAAATGTTGTTTAACACAACGTTACTAGCAGATTTGTGTTTGGATCAGAGAAGGCTGAATGTAGAGTTAAATCTGTCCATTTATCCCCACTATAGTCTCCCGCCCTCTACTTTCTCCCTCCAGGCTAAATCCACATCATTGCGACTCTGAAACTTGTTAAAGATGCTGTTGAGAAAACTCCTTCTAATGACTGAGCGCGTTCAAATCTGGTTCTGACTGGATCCTGCCGGTTCATCCGGAACACATTAATATTAATGCGGGCCAGCCGGCTGACAGGAATATGTACCGGCAGGATATGTCCTACTCACACAGATGCGGAGACGGGCAAAACCGCGCTCGCGCCGTGGACGCCCCAGCCCCGCTGACCAGATGCTAGGAGTGTTCCTGAGCGCGTGCACAAACATCAGCGCCACGCGGCAGAGACCTGGTCCATCCGAGCATCTCGTGGGGCTGCCAGCGCAGAGCAGCTGAGTACTTACCGGTGATGAACTCCAGCAAGAGGACAGCGTGTACCGCTGCGGGACTGAGGCGTGTTGGTACTGAGTGTGAGTCTGAGTGTGAGTCCTTAACTGCCAGGGGAGCACCGGGGAGGGGAGGGGCTTGTTCTGCCGGCCCCCGACACCATCTGCCCTGCTCTATCTCTCCATCTAAAATAAAACACCTCTGCTGGGTTTAGTGCCACATCCTGAGACTATTCTTCCGGCCATACAACTATATTCTCCCACTTTCTGACTTAAAATCAGATTAGACCTTTCGTTTTATAAATTACAATCAATATTCTGATTGTGAAAGTCCCCTTTCAGATGTACTGTGTACATCTGAAGATATAAAGGGCTTTATAAATAAAATCTATTATATTTCTCCATTAGATTGCCATCTTATAGTACAATAAAATAAGTTATTTCAGTTATACAAATGCAGAATATATCAAAAATTACTTAAACGAAATGTTTTCACAATTTGAAATTGACCTCTGCCTCTTAAGAAGCTCCTTCTCTTTCCAACACTCCCCTTCAGCATGTCACAATAAAGCCACTTCATAATGCCATTTACAGCCATTTTTAGGAGAGTTGGACAGAGAAATAGTTCATATGAGCTCAGCAGACTCCAGTTACACCAGGTGTTCACTAATTACTGCTACCACTAGTCTGGAGGAGCTATGCTATATAAGGTGGAAGTCCAAGACTGCAGCATCGAGGAGGAGCTTTGGTTAAATAGGCGGTACTGAGTGAGAGCAAGCATTTAGGCCCCCATGAATCATTGCCATGGGAGACTCGAGGATTTCTCAGACATGCATGAAACACTCTAGGAACATTTATGGCGACAAATGTACCAGCATTCCGAAGGTGCTCGGTTGGATCAATGTGATGGAGGCCATCAGAGAAAAGTCACTGGCATGTTGACAAAACACGGTGGATCATCCTGCTGGAAGCCGTTATCAGAGGAACAGCTCACTGACGGTGATAAACTTTAGTATCATTTATAAATGGCTGGGATTGTTTATAAAGGGATGCATTATGTAAAATTAAAATGTTGAACTTTATATCATGTTTATATCATATCATTTCATCAAAACATACCTGGATGTTGCTTTGATTCTTTTATGCATGTTTGAGAAATCCTTTAGTCTCCCATTGCATCCATGAGGGGGAGGGAACAGGGAGACAAACGTAGTTTCTCCAAAGATCCTCCTATGAGCTTCAGCCTCCAGCTGAGCTTCCGCCTCACAGAGAACCCTTCTCCCCTCACTCAGCTCCTCCAGACTAGCAGAGGCAATTAGCAATCACCTGGTGGAACTGCATACCTGTTGAGTTTATTATACTAACTACTTCTCAGTCCAACATTCCCAAGAACAGTTGTAAACTGCATAATGGAGAATTTATGTGATGACTACATGAAATAACGACCATAGTTTGTGAGGCAGGAGTGTGTCTAACCATGTGAGCAGCAGCACAGGAGCAACACAGGGGACTGTTCTCTCACCATTTCTCTTCACTATGTACACTTCAGATGCCTAGCACAAGTCTGACTTATATCAACAAAAATTACATTGTTTTTCAACCCTCGGATACTTTACAATGAAATCAGTCATTCCTCTTCACACACACACATTTACACAATGATTATGGCAAGCTAGTGGATTGTTACTGCAGACTGACAGAAATACTCAACCTGCAGTTGTCAGGTGCATCAGAGATGGATAAGAATCTGAGTACAGAGATCTGGTGGAGCGCTTGGTGTGGAAACAATCATATCCTGAAAATAAAATAAAGAAAATAACTGTTGATTTCAGGAGAAACAGGATTAGATCAAATCCCATTTCCATCATGGGTGAAGACATGGAGGTGGTTGAGGAATATAAGTATCTCAATGTTCATCTGGACAACAGATTGGACCGGAGACGCAACAATGAAGCATCTCTAAGAAGGAACAGAGCAGACTGGACTTGAAGACAAGATCCTTCAAGGTTTGAAGCAAGATGCTGTAGATCTTCTATCAGTCTGTTGTTGAGATTGTCATCTATTTTGCCATCATCTGTTGGGGCAGCAGCATCAGAACCAGGGACCTAAAAAAGACTCAACAACCTGATAAAGGCTAGTTCTTGTTCTGTTCTGGGGACGACTGTGGAACCTTTGGAGATGATGATGCAAAGGATTTTACAGAAAATCAAGAAAATTATGGAAACCATTGAGCATCCTCTTCGTTGCTGCTAGAAAAACTGGCTTCAGTCGGAGGCTTCTTCAAATTTGCTGTGACACAGACCGCTACAGGAGATCCTTCCTGCCAAACGGCAGGATCTACAAAAACTCTTTGAGGAATTTGAATTAATGAATTTACCTGTGAGATCTACAGAGTATTTTTGAATTTGAAGGCAGTGTCAGAAAGACCAAGAACCTCTTATTAAAGAAGTTCTTGACTTCTTAAATAAAAAGTGACTTATTAAAGTCAAATTTTTTTTAAGTCATATTTGATATATGCAGCAGGTAAGTAGTTACTAGATTAGGTTATAAAATGACGCTCCCTCTTTGAATTATACTTACCTGGTACAAAGTGTGTGAATAACAAAACTCCACATCGTTATACCACCACCACCAGCAGCCTAAGTCACATATACATGGTTAGACAGATCAGTTCTTTCATATCTACATCAAATTGTGACCTGGCCATCCAAGTATTTCAGACCCATCACACCAGGTGTTTTTTCTATAAAGCATCTGTTTATGAACTATTTTAGTGAGTTTCATTCTCCTGGTGTGGCCTGCCTGAAGAGCCAATGTGTTCAGTGATGAAGTCTGCTTATTCTATTCCAACACTAACAGTACTTCCATCCACATAACTGCTGCTCACTGGATAAATGAAGGTTTATCATAGCAACTGCTGGAAGCCTGACAACAACCGCACCATGTGTAGCATCACTTCAATCCCCCTTTTTCTATGACTTGCTGTCAGATCACCTGTTTTAACAAGTCACTAGCAGGTGGGTCTGAACATGGGGGCAGCAAGTCTGTGACTCCATGATCATGTCCCATTTGTATCCTATAAAAGGAAAACATAATTCAAAACTGTATACGTAAACTTAGGAGCTTCATTTTCATGTTCAAGTTGATAGAAATTATTAAATTGTTGGTTCCTACAGTTCTGATCATTATCCATCTTTTGACCAGTTAAAAGCCTTCACTGGGTGAAACATTTTGTTTTCCAACATCGCTCAACTTTGAGTCATGGAATATTTGTATTACTGTAGAGTTTATAGCTTTAAGTACTGGAACAAAAACTGGATTTGGTGTTACAGTACAGAAGTTATCTACCTGTAGTGTGGAGTGACTACATGTAGTCACTCCACACTACCTGTGTAGTAGTGTGGAGTGACTACACAGGTAGTGTAGTCACTACCTGTGTAGTCACAGGTAGTGTGACTACACTTATGTGTAGTCACAACCTTTAGGACTGTGACTACACCTTTAGGACTTTCTAAAGCTGCGTCTTGAGCAGAAGAGTCAGTGTCAGACAGCGTCAAACATGTTATTTCTCATTGGTCAACACACACAAATGACAGTAATCCTTTACACTGTTCCATGATCAACAGTGGATGCCACCATTTGAATACAGAGAGCATGAGTCCATGATGAGAGGGACAGTATGACTACAGGCTAACTAGCACATGGAAAACATCGCTTGTGTCCACAGTCTATATTACAAAGAGGAAAGAAGGAACTAAAGTACTACAACATTCCAGGATTCCAGGATGGGTTGGAACATCTCCACATTTAATTTTTTTTTCTTTTTTCTTTTCTTGTGAAAGAGGAAAAAAACAAACAAAAAAAATCAAATCAACAAAAATAGTTCCTACTAAGAGACATTTTCCTAAGCTCTCCTAAAAACTTGCAAAATCAAGTTCCAACAGTTGTGACACTGGAAGTAATGCATAAAAGTGTCAGTCTCTCTCCTTCCTTTCCTGATAAAAGTGGATGTGGGTGGAGGCTATAGACAACGATGATATGCTGATGCTCGTACGGAAGTGAACGGATGAGGAGCTCTGGCTCCCGGACACTTGAGTCTCAAGTAAACGTGAAGTGGGGGACACAGAGGAGGTTCCAGGGGCCACTGCCTTATGCTCCGTTCTTCCAGCTGATTCCTCACACCGAGCCAGGATGAAGGAGCCCATGCTTAGGCTGGGCTGAATGTTTCAGCAGAGCAAAACATTCATCACCTTCCATGCTGAGTGTTTAAGCAGAAGAACATCTTCTTCTCTCGGTTGTTTGATATATATATATATATATATAGCTGGCTATTTGACTGCAGCTCCATGTCACTGTTTGGTCAACTTCATAGCTTAAACCTCAAACCCATCAAGCTCTTGTGCTGCTAAAGCAAAGTCTAACCAAATGTATTTGTCTAGTTTCTAGTACAGATATTTTTGTACACTTGAATACAACAAAATTAACTTAAAAGTAACTTTTCAGCAAGCTATAGGAGCTTTTTTTAAGTCAATCATTCCTTAATATTGATTTTTTAAAAAGTAATAGTTCCACTGATTATTTCACTTACAGTATGACATTTTCCCATAAGTGAAATAATCTGCCAACAATATTTTCACTAGAATATGGACAAAGATGCTTGGTAAGACTTTATGTTTTTGCAGTGTATGCCCATCCAGCCCCACTCACCACAGGTGGAAACAGTTTGTGTGATATTTCACAAAATAGTCTATTCACCTATTTAAAGGTTTCCTTCTAGATGATCTGTTCACCATCAGCAGATTATTAATAGCTCATCTTCATAGAGTTTAAAACCAGAAGCATCACCTGCCATTTGAGTCTATATGAAAACGGTTGTTGAACACTGCCCCCTGCTGCTGCTAGTAAAGAATGCAGGTAAAGAAACCTGTGCCTTCCTACAGTGAAGATTATTAGGGCTGACATATAAAAATTAAGTGCACAACGCTGCTGTGAGTTTTGCTTCACGGAAAATCTTTTAGGTTTGATACATATATGAAGTTCCTGCCTGGTGAGTCCAGAGGAACATTTGAAGCAGCTTCATCTCATATCGTTTTAAACATCTGTAGATCTGCCAGCATCTATAGACTTGTCATGTGGTAGAGCACAGAGAGCTAATGCTAACAGCATACATGTTCAGAGGTCTGACAGCATCACTCAGCATGGAAGGTGACCAGCATGCATCTCCTAAAGGTCTCGAAGCTGAATGTCATTGGAAAAAAAGCTGGAGGTGAGGACCGGACTGGGACTGTCTGCGTTCTGTTGAGCGGGCCCGGAGACGAGGGTCACCATGGAAACAGGAAGACAGAAGCCCAAGGCAGAGGGGGTCAGGGTTAGTCAGAATGGTGAGGACAACAACTTAAAGGGTCCCGACAGTTAAAAACAGAGCAGAGCAGGAGCAGTGTGTGGATGGACTGTGATAACGGTAGATACTGGAGGAGGTCCACAGGGAGGACTACTGGGACTCCTCAGTCTTCAGCAAGACAGGCATGGACGGATGGACAGGGCAAGGGACGCCAGCACAGCACTAGTTTTGGTTTCCTGGTTTTGGTTGTGGATGGTGAAAGGGGGGAGGAGGTGGTTCCTGTCATGCGGGGAGGGGCAGAGGGTCCGATATGTCTTTACAAGATCTTTACTTTAACTGCCATAATGCATGGTGTTGCTGGGGATGACCATGGGGGACGCCATGGAGATGGCAGCGCCCCCCATGGTGAACTGGTTGGTGATGGGATAGTAGGTACCGCTGCTGCTGGGGCCCGACTGGCCCGTTGTGGCCCCTGGAACAGAGAGCAGAGCATGGCTTCATGACTTCTGAGGACCAGGCTTTAGGAGACGCTGTGTGAATGGCAGATTACCTTGGACTATTCCTGTGCTCATGATGGAGCCCATCCTCGAGTGGGTGTGGTTCACTATCCCTGTGTTTACTGGGAGGGGACAAAGACAGAGAGGACAGAGAGAGGTCAGAGAGACAGGGACAGAGACAGGGAGGACAGAGACAGAGAGGACAGAGAGAGGTCAGAGAGACAGGGACAAAGACAGAGAGGACAGAGACAGAGAGGACAGAGAGAGGT